CGGTTTGATGAAAGCGGGTGGGGTACGCAAAAAATAAAAAGGAAAAATTGAACCGATGTTCAACATCAAGAGGAATGGTAAACCTGACGCGTGCATTGTGTGCATGTGAACCAGAAGTAAAGAATGAAAGAATGACATGAATCTAGAACTGAATTTTACTGGAGAACCATTTAAAATATGATCACTGAAATGGACAATAAATCGTAATAAATGTCAGTTGAGTTGATTTCAAATTTATTTCCAGTCAGACAGTAAATCTCAAGAATATTCATCGATATATTTTTGGCGCCATTTTTTATATTATATTCGACAAACGCCTGTTTCTGATGCAAAAACTATTGCCGGTCTAGGCTTAGGAGTCAACGGCTTTAACAGTGGGCAGAGGAACTTCTGTAAGGAGCAACAAAGTTGGCGGAGTTACCTCCTCTTTAATTCCCTAATTGTTCACTAGGAGTCACTCTCCCTACACTATAAATACTGGGCGACTTCTTGCCTCGTTCTCTTTTTCACTTTGCATTTCAGCGGACACATTCAAAAGTGTAATCTCTTGTAGAAATCCGCGTTTTCGCCCACTTATGTGAAAACGCCATTAAACACACACACACGTACCTACGAACTTTCACCAACATACAAAAGCTTTACGTTCACACACAAACACAAATGATAATGTCTTTGTCACTTGTAAATTTGTTGTTTAATACATATATTTGTTGACATATATATATATCGGTCTTGTTTGTTTTCTTTACATCTTCGGTTGGATTCAACTTGAGTCCGCCATGTTCTTGTAGTTGGGCCTTCTTCTAGCAGGAATAAACAGGACGTGTTTCTAATCCAACAACAGCACGGTCCTCTACAAAGTAAACTCAAAACCCCCGGTGCAAAAGGAACCGGCATGCCCTTGCAATATTTTACCTTGTCATGTCACCATGAACCACAATTAAACAGAACTATGGGGGAGTAATTACGACAGCGGCGCAAAATGCGCTAACTGAATTAATTATTATTACTATTATAAATTAATCCTAAACGTATGTTACGTCTGAAGTCTTTAGCTTCATACGTAATCTAAAGACGTTATAGGTTTGGTTTGGGTTGGTTTAGGTCATATCAATCTCAGTGGGTCATTTAATGCCGATAATTTTTTTCCTGGTAATATTTTTGTTTTGTCAAAATTCTATTTCTGTTAATATTTTTTCCTTAAAAATGTATAGCTAGTAATTTTATTTTTCCAAAAACTTATAGCTGGTAATATTATTTTTTCAAAAACGTATAACTGGTAATATTGTTTTTCCAAAAAACTTATTGCTGGCAATAGTTTTTTCCAAAAATGTATTGCTAGCAATAGTTTTTTTTTTCAAAAATGTATAGCTGGCAATAGTTTTTTCTTCAACAACGTATTGCTGGTAATATTTTTTAATGCCTTGCCCATAGCTGGGACCCTAACAGGTGCTACCACCCATGGTAAAGGTTAGACCTGGGAATATCAGCAATTAAGAGGTGGTTCCATGCACCTCAAGACCTCCAGATCAGAGGCCTTGCTGTTGGACATAGTTTATCGTCTTACCCAGGACGCGGATGCAGTTTATCGTCATACCCGGGACTGAAAGACGTTATAGACTTTGATGTGACGTCTAAAAACGTTAAATACAAAATATGATATTCTGACCCGATGACAATATTGCTTTGAAAATGTCAACTCATTGTTTTACAATGATTCACTTGTTTTTAAAGTGTTTGTGAACAATTCTTATATCAAGATTAGCCCAATTTCTATTAAGTTCGTCAGTTCGAAAGTTTTTGGTTTTGTGTTTCGATCAACCTATGATATTTAAATGACACAGAAGATCTGTGTTAGTAAAGTTTAGTTTGTGGGTTGATGGGCTTTTTTATCATTTCACCCCAACCAAGGCAATAAAACCACTAAGACACAAGGGCTTACTGAGTGGCTGAATACGCGAAGAAGAACTATTAAGGAGAGAGAACAATAAAAGAAAAAGAATTAAGAAGACAGAAGATAATGATTGAATCTGAATTTAAATTTTTGAAGATTAAAGTTGACTGGAAAGCAAGAGGCTGGACGAGAGATCCACAAGCGAGAAGTGCGAGAGAAGAAACTGTTATAGCATAGAACTTAAAATTACATCTAGCTATTTCATCAGTAAAGTAAAAAAGGAAACCTCCCACCAATCTAGTACTGCGCGTAAATTCGTATACTTCAGGTACCTTAGAGGAGAGTAATATTTAGTTTGAATACAAATATGTGGCACAAGGCCAAAAGAAAAAAGAGGAGAAGGCTGGCTGATTTATCTTAAATTTAGCTAACCACTACTGACTCAAACATACCACAGTATTACGAGGGTCATTCAATAAATAAGGTGAATTATTCGGTATAAGGTCTTTTAATACAGATAGAAGCTTACTTTATTTGTTTTTTTTTCGTTTTGTTTTACTTCTTTTTTCACATGGATTTAATATCTTTTGCAGATTAAAAAAAAACTTTGAGAGTTTTGGCGATTAACAAAGATGGCCGACCAAGAAGCATGCTCCAGGATTGAACAGCGGTCAGTTATCAAGTTTTTGGTTGCTGAAGGATGCAAACCAGTTGAAATTCATAGGAGAATGTCAACTGTGTATGGTGCCACATGTTTCAGCCAAAAAAATATCGACAAGTGGGCTAAATTGTTTAAAGAAGGACGGAGCAGTGTTGAGGATAAAGACAGGCCTGGGAGGCCTACAGAAGTGAGGTCTCCTGAGGTGATCGAATCAGTCAATGACTTCATTCAGTCTGACAGAAACTACTAAAAACAGTAGATGACATTGCAAGGGCTTTGAGCTTACATAAAGAACAAACGCAGGTGTCATCAATCAGAAGGCGTCATCTTGCATCATGACAACGCAAGGCCTCACACAGCAGCCCAAACGGTGCAGACCATCAACGAGCTGGGCTGGGAACTGCTCCCTCATCCCCCTTGCAGCCCAGACCTTGCCCCTTCAGACTTTCACCTGTTTGGCCCCTTGAAAGCGTTCACGAGAGTCACGAAGTTTAAAAGTGACGATGAAGTCAAAAGTGTTGTGAGCAACTGGCTGAGACATCAGTCCAAAGATTTTTACGCCGAGGGAATACGAAGCTTGTGCACAGATGGGAAAAGTGTGTGACAGTGCTGGGAGACTACGTTGAAAAATAAAAAAGAAGTAAGCTTCTATCTGTATTAGAAGTCCTTATACCGAAAAATTCACCTTATTTATTGAATGACCCTCGTACTTGCACCAAAAGAATACATTCTTACTTACCATCCTTTCTACAGTCACCATAATACCTCAAGTCTCTATGTAACCCTAACTAGTTCTCATAATAATATTTGTCTTTAGCAGGTAGGTGGAAATAAAAATAACAACATTTAAAACTGAAACTCCAATAGAGGAAAGATCATCAGAACAATTACCATGAAAATATTTATAGAAAAGACACAGGGAAGCCACGTTACGCCGCTGGGAATGTGACTGAAGATGAGTTGTCAGGTCAGAACAAATAAAATTGCAGATTCTTCTTTGGATTGTATCTAGAATCTATAAATACATCGCAGATGCCACAGACAAGATGTGACAGTAATATGCGATGCACGGGTGAATGGTCGACTTATAAATGTATAAGATAGATTCTCTCGAGAAAGATTGTCACAATGCGCCAACATTTCTGGCAGCAGACCGAGCAATTTATTCCATATTATCTTTCCATTTCATCTCAGTGAAAAACGTTAGCCCGAGAAGACGCAACGTTTCACTCTCCTGCAGAGCAGCATCATGCGTAATCTAAAGTCGTTATAGACATTGATGAGTCATCTAAAAACGTTAAATATGATACCTGATATTCTGACCCGATCGCAGAGCGAAAATATTGCTTTGAAAATGTCAAATCAGCTCTGGAAAAGGACATTATATCGAAATCCCACCAAAGGTAGTTTCCAATTCCAATTGTTTGAATATCCGACGAGGAATCCTTGAAGGAGATTCCCTGTCACCCCTTCTGTTCTGTCTGTCCTTAATCACCCCCTGTCACATGAACTAAATAGTAATATCGATGGATACAGGGTAAAAAAGAAAGAATTTAAACATTTATTGTACATGGATGATATGAAACTCATTGCCAAAGACGACAAGGAGCTGAAGGGTATACTCAATAATTAAAAATGTTTCATATATATATATATATATATATATATATATAGATAGATAGATAGATAGATAGATAGATAGATAGATAATATTAGTGGAAAATATACATACATATGCAAAATATATAAATACCCATACATGTATATTTTTAGAAAAGAAATTCAAGAGGAAGAATCCAGGTAGAACTCAATGTCTAGGACAGAGTAAGGACATAATAAAAAGGCTTAAACACTAATATTCTATGGTCATAATTTATTCCATTGGAATATTCCAATGGAATAAATTATACCATGGAATATTTTATTTTTAAGAATTTTATTATTTATATATATATATATATATATATATATATATATATATATTAATGATAACGAATGGAGAAAAAATAATAAGAAAGCTAGAGTCCAATAACATTCAGACCCAGTAAGCATTCCCTCTGTAATCAGAGGGAAGGCCCCATGGGATCTGATATACAAGGATTCTAGAACCTTGAGGTGATAAGAGGGGTGGGACCTAGATAAATCGAGCAACGGTATGCACTAAAATCAAAAACGCAATTCCTGCTATTTATTACATGCTCTGCAATAGAAGAGCCAGAAGTATTGGTTAGTTGACTATTCCTAGCATCCGGATTCAAAATCCTGGGGGGTAAATATTGTTTTATTCTCAGATCCAAACGTTGGAACGTCCTCCCTATGTAGTCGTGTTCACAATTTTAAAGTCGCGTTTCAGCAAATTTTAAAGTAATATATATATATATATATATATATATATATATATATATATATATATATATATTATTTGGGGTGAAACTGACATTATCCATGCAGTGTTCTTGTTGCTCTCTCTATCTCTCTGTCTATCTATCTCTTCCTGTTCTTTTCTATCTATCTATCTATCTATCTATCTATCTATCTATCTATCTATCACATCTTGTTCTTTACTTTCTTTCTTTTTATCTATCTATTTTTATATTTGTACATATTATCTATTTATCTAATCCTGTTCTTTCTTTCTTTTTTCTATCTATCTATCTATCTATCTATCTATCTATCTATCTATCTATCTCATTCTGTTCATATCTATCTACTGAAAGACAATATTGTTACCAGCATTTGGCTTTGGGCTCGCAGAAGACAACTTCAATCACTGTTTATCCTCATAAATTGTCTTCCAAGTTTCACTAAAAATAAGGACGTTCTGTGAGACGACGTTTTTGTCTCATGAAACTCATAAATTAATTCATTCAGGTATTAATTCTCTCTCTCTCTCTCTCTCTGTGTGTGTGTGTGTATATATGTATATATATATATATATATATATATATATATATATATATATATATCATTATGTTCATATCTATCTATCTATCACATCATTTTCTTTTCTTTCTTTCTTTTTATCTATCTATTTTTATATTTGTACATATCTATCTATCTATCTATCTAATCCTTTTTTTTCTTTCTTCTTATCTATCTATCTATCTATCTATCTATCTATCTATCTATATATATATATATATATATATATATATATATATATATATATATAACATCTTGTTCTTTTCTTTCTTTCTTGTTTTTCTTTCTTTCTATCTATCTATCTATCTATTTTTATATTTATACACCAAGAAAAAAAATCATCGGCCGCATTCCAAATCCCTAAATTTGATGAAATCACCAACTATCGGATTTTTGGATGAAGAGCTTCTTGGTGGAATAGAGAACTTTTCATCATGCCCTACCCTACATAAAGGAAATAAACAATACGCATATGTATACCTAAGCATGTATATCTATAAATTACTCAGGCCGTGCTCCGCATATCTTAATACTGATGCGCCGTCTCAAACGAAAATTAAATCGCATATTTATCAATTATATAAAAAAAAAATGTATACATGTGTGTGGTCATGCGCATATAATATATATATATATATATATATATATATATATATATATATATATATATATATAATTTCCTTTCCCCTTAATTTTTCTTTTTATGATTGATAGGTTATATTTTTTGGGGGTATTTATAACTTTTTCACTACGACACATTCTTGGTTATTTTCCAAATATCTGTCGTTTTTTTTTTTCTTCAGTTTAAAAAAAGAAATGTCGCAAAGAGAATTTTTCCATCCATTATATGATGGATTATATCGAAATCAGTTTTCTTTTCATATACGTTTTCTTTTTCTTCATTCCTATTGTTATTACAGCAAATGTATTTTGCATTATAAATACCAAATATATACAATTCAACGCAACATTCTATTCATTCAGTTGTTGACAATTTTAAATAACAAAAGATTTTAACTCATTTTTTCCGTTGCTTCAGATATATAAAGGATTATTTTTTTCTATCTTTTATACCGAAAGTCTTGAATAAGTCTTGAATAAAAATAACCGATTTTTTTTACGTTATCTTGTCAAAAACGAGCCATAAAATGTTTCTCGTCAGAATCTATCTTGGACATTTACAAATCTATCATTCATCCATGCATTGCCATATCTGGTCTATTGCTCCTTTCATCTCGAGGTTCTTGACAAGACCCAAAGATGAATCCTCAATGTAATTAATCCTGACTTGGCATCTCGATATCAGTCACTTTCTCACCGGCGCGGTGTGGCTTATTTCTCTCTTTTCTACAAATATTTACACAGCAACTGCTCTGACGAGCCTTCTTCCCGGGTTTTCCGACTACTTGAATTTAAACGTGCTACTAGATTGGCATCTAAGTCCCACGCATTCACTGTTGAAACAGTTATATGTAACCGTCACTTCTACTCCAACAGTTTCTTTTCTCGCATTTCCCGCTTGTGGAACTCCCTTCTACTTGCTTCCCTGACAACTACAATCTTCAACCTTCCTGGGTATGACGATAAACTGCATCCGCGTCCTGGGTAAGACGATAAACTGCCTCTAATCAGGAGGTTTTGAGGAGCATGGAACCACCTCTTAATTGCTGCTGTTCCCAGGTCCAGCCTGACCCGGGGTGGTAGCATCTGTTAGGGTCCCAGCTATGGGCAAATAGTTAACCCCGAAACAGAGGTAAAAAGGATTATAAAAGTGTAAAAATAAGTTTTCATACCAGAAATACTTTGTAAAAAATTATTACAGAAATAAATTTTTGAAGAAAAAATCTATTACCAGCAATATATCTTTGAAAAAAAATATTACAAGCAATACATTTTTGAAAAAAAAAATATTACCAGCAATACATGTTTTAAAATAATATTACCAGCTATAGATTTTTGAGGAAAAAAAATGTTACCAGAAATAGATTTTTGACAAAACAAAATATTACCAGAAAAAAAGAGTTGTCGGCATTAAATAACCCATTGAGGTTGATATGCCGTAAAACAAACTAAACCAAATCAATAGATAGATAGATAGATAAAAAAAATATTACCAGCAATAAAAATCTTGTCGGCATTAAATAACCCATTGAGGTTGATATGCCGTAAAACACAACCAGACCAAACAATCTTGGAAAAATTTGTCTTCTTGAACCCCGTTCATCTTTTATTTTGTCCTCAATCCTCCCTATACTCAATCTTTTATTTTACTTTTCTCTGGAGCACCTTGCGTATTAATGGCACCCCCGCTGTGCTTGGGGTGAAATGATTTAAATAACCCAGCTGTTCGGAAATTTCATAAAGAGAAACATCCTTTTGACATTGTTCGGACTATCGTCCTCATCTTTGTCGGCATATTTATCTTCTTTAGGTGGTTGGAATGTCGAACTGAACCCTTTATTTCATGCCGCTGTCTAATGGATGCGAGTTATCATTTATCTACTGTTAATTCACCTCTCCAAGTTCTCTACTGCCTTAACCAGGTATTGAACTCACACTCTTTGGGTCCTGTCACTGGATCTAACTAACGCCTTTATCCACTGTGCCATGTGTCCTTGAGGACATCTGTGTTTGAATTTCTGGGACTTATAAACATAATATCTTCAGCACACTTTTTTTTATCAGTGCTCATATTGCAATTTTTGCTGTTATCATTGCATTTTTTTTTTTTTTTTTTTACCAAAGCTCACATTTTTGTTGTTACTATTGCTTTTCTCTGGCACTCCTTATTACTGGTTCCCATATTGTATTCATTTCTATGCTTGGTCGTCTCAGGAGATTTTTGTGGCCTAGCATATGTGCTGATTCCTTAAGTTTACGAATTTTTCAGTGATGTTCTTTGTTTATGATCTCAACCTGATCAGGTTGTGAAACGGAAATGTTGTGATAAATATGGCAACAAAGATAAGGACAATAGTCCGAACAATGTAAATAGTGTAGATAATACCTCATCGCAGAAATATAAAAAGATACTGAAGGAACATCCTTCTTCGAACCTCGTTAACTGACGCTACAGAATCACAAAGAAATGCACCAAATCAAAGAAACGACATCGCTTGAAGACTTTCAAGAGTAGCCACAACAAAATTGGATAGAACCTGTAACTCGGAAGAGAAAATATTGACGTCGCTATAAATTAGTGACCTTCCAAACTCTCTCTCTCTCTCACAGGCAGGATGTGGAGAGTCTCTCATTCTTCTATCGCTACTTCCACGGAAATTGCTTGCACGAACAATATTCCTTGGTTCCATCAGGTCTAAACTTCATGGCTGTGACCCGTCACGCCATTCACATTGTAGCAAAGCACTCAAATTCCCTCCGTGTTCCATCGTCGAAAAGTAAGTTCCACTCAAACACTATCTACTCGCATACCACTGCTCGGTGGAACAGACACCCAAGAGGGTGTTTCCCAGATCATTATTTGTCGAAGTCTGTAGGCAACCGTTATATTACCTTCCTATCCAATAAAAACGATATTATCTAAACTTAAAATTAAGATGATGAGAGAGGAAAAAAAGGGGAGAGCGCTCAAACTAAAAACGAGGGCATTTATAAGAGAATTGATGTGTAATCAAGAAAATTTGACAGAGCAAGTAATATCACCTACAGGTTGCACATTTAACATAAACATATAAAAATTAAAGAATATGTAATCTAGTAAGGACCTACAAATTATATGCCCCAAAACACATACGTAGATACACATATACACAACAATATATCTACATCTACTCGCATATACATACATATACGTATGCACACACACACACACATATATATATATATAAATATACATAAACACATACACACATATACACATAGACATGCACATATGTGCACACAAACACATATACATAAAAACATAAACACATCCATACATATACATACACACACTCATCTAAAATATACAACGTACCTATCTATCGATCTCTCTCTCTCTCTCTCTCTCTCTATATATATATATATATATATATATATGTAATTAAAAAGTAAAAGGTAAGAACCATACATACATTTAACGTATAAAAATTGATGGGTAGAATTTGTACTTTAAAAAACTATTGAGGAAGAAAAAGTTAACAATATTAACAACCCACGGAGTGATTAACGCGTATATATCTGTGAGGTCTACATATATACCTAGGTATAAAAAAATATAAGAAAACTATCAGATTCTGTATATCAGTTATTTAGGAAAACATTTTACTTATATACCCATATACACATATACCAACACATGAATAAAGTTTGTTAACACAAATTAAATGATCAAAAAAACACATAAACACAGACAATGATATATATATATATATATATATATATATATATATATATATATATATATATATAGGTAATCATAATTCATTCCATTTCAGTGTCATGTCTGATGTTAGTGATCCAAGATCGAACTGTTATAGGTAACAACGCGTTATAAAACCGTGTTTTAAAGCGTTTTTTATGTCTACATTTGGAAATGATCTCACTACGAAGATTCAGTAACTCATCTGGATTTTTATCACTTTTTCTGGTTGATATTTTCTCTGGGGAAGATTGTAGCTTTATATATTACATGCTCATGCATACATTTCCCCCCGAATGGACAATTAGCTCTACTCCTACAATTGCAGGTGGGGCTCCTAGATCGAGTTTCACTATTATGTTAGTTCTTAAGTATTAAACAATTGTGGGACGCTATAATTTTCTCCACATTGCTTACATGAATAACTAATTTTCAGTGTCTTCCTATTGAAAAATTTATATAGTGGATGTTTATTTTGAAAGTGCTTGTCTATTAACTTCAGAAAAA